TATATATATATATATATATATATATAACAGGTTGTGGTGTGTAGACCTCATCAACGTGTATTGAAAGCGCTCAATAGGTATACTAGAGCTATGTAGAGTTAAGAGAGACTTTTGCGAAATGATGATTGCGCCTGATGATTGCTTCAGCATGAAACTCGGAGTAGCGATTAAAATGTTTTTAAAGTAAGAAGTCTCTCTTAACTCTATATATATATATATATATATATATATATATATATATATATGATTAAATTTATATTATTTTCCTTGTCAAAGGAAAAGAAAGTGCTTGCAATCAATGGGTCAGCAAGTTGATCTAGCCACTAGTTAATTCCAAATAGCTACTGTTCGTTGCGCACCCAAATCACAATAAAACTGTCTAAACCATATTACAATCACAAAAAAGACAATCACCCCAGCCAGGCCTGCAAATTCTTTCTTCCATTTCTCTGATATGGTTGGTAGGATTTTCTTTGATCTTTTCTTGGAAAACTTTATCGGCTGCAACCTTCGATCTGCATTATGGAAAAAGATCTGTACATATTGGGTGAAATGATTATTAACTATCTGGCATTCTGGCTAATGCAAAGCACAAGCAAATTCAGGTGAATTCTTTGTTAAAATGGCCCAATTTGCCCGCTGTTAGATCACATCACAATTACATATCTCAATCTGCAATGCAGCTGACAAAATTAAGGCATTTGTATTGATTGGTATCAGATTTGCTGCCCGTCATTTACATTGGTTTATTAGAAACAAATCAGCAACACCTACAATCTACAAGTAAAATTTCAAAGAATCGACAACAATCAATAACAATCAATATAAAAATTGATGTACAAAATTTTTCAACCGTCTTTTAGTTTATGCATGCAGGGGATGACGGGAAGTAAGGTATCATATTGCTGATCAGGCTGAAAAATTTCAATAAAAACTGCCGAAACAACCGAGAAATTTCAATATTTACAAGTATAAGCTGTCACTCTGTGTTTACACGGCCGCCAGTTTTATTTTTTTCAGCGTAATCAGCCACCCGTTCTGCACGTTGTAACCAATAATCTATTGGCATTGACCAATAATCTATTGGCATTGTGATGCCATTGTATGCAATAAAGTGTCGGGTTGTGACTGAAGACAAAACCACAAGCATTGGACAAAAGTTTTAGTTATAAATGTAATTGGCCGAACGGAGGTTGGCCAAGAACGAAGGTTGGTGGGGTGGGGCAAATACTGAAAAGAAAAAAAAGGTCATCAACTTTGGGGTTAGGAGGTGGGGGTTAGGAGGTGGGGGTTAGGAGGTGGGGGTTAGGAGGTGGGGGTTAGAGGTTAGGGTTTGGATTAGCATTTGGATTAATTGTAGACCCATTACAACCCAATACTTTATTGCATACAATGGCATTACAATGCCAATATATTATTGGTTACAACATGCAGAACGGCTGAATCAGCAATATGATACCTTACTTCCCGTCACCCCCTGCACGCATAAACTAAAAGCTGGAATTGCATAAATATTGATAGCATGTACTTAGTTACTATTCATTGATTTCGATAATTTGATGATTGGCTTTTTTCATAATTGATTTTTATGGATATATACAACGAATGGGTAGGCATATACTGTAGATCTACTAGCATACCATTGTCTTGGTTACCTGGTTGACTCGTATTCCATCCCTCCATTGTTGATCAAGTCACAACTGTTTATCCGATCTTTAGTCCAACATCTTTGTTTACTTTTATATCTATTTGTTTACACGACGTGTTTTTGCCATTATGTATCACCCAGACACATTCGACAAATCTGGGATTTCTTTATAGTCCCTCCGAAGAACGAAGAACAAATAAAACAAACGAGACTTGCTAGAATATTTACTAGAACTAGTTTAATTTTAAAACAATAAAACTAAATATTTTAGAGAGATACCGCTGACCGATAATGTTTACTTTTTTAGTTTTTTATAGTTGGGGGTTTAGTGTGGTTTAGCAGAGTTCACTGGGGCCGTTGTCTACACGAAATGAAATAAGTTTTGATATTAACACTAGGAAAACGGCAAGAAGATAGTAAAACCATATTTTACGTTCAGAAATTATTATTACAAACGTTATGCAATGGGTTAGGATATTTATGGAAGGGTTCAGGTTGGGCCTACCCTGGATTCCAGAGCCTTCGACAGTAAATAATAAATTGAAATGTCGCGAAGGCTCTGGAATCCAGGGTAGGTTGGGCCAGGATTGGATTAGAGTAATAGTTACAGTCAGGGGCGAAACTACCGGGGTAACTGATAACTCACGTTCATTCGTCCGTCGGGCACGACTTCGGTCGTTTTGGTTGGGCAATTGTCATTTGTGTACAATTGTACTTGAACTGTAATTCACTTAATTTATTAATTAAATTTATAGATGGGCCTTTGGTGTTCTTATATATGAGATACTTTCTTTTGGTGAGTTTTTGTTCTTTTGGGGAGTGGTTCTATTTTTGAAGCTTTAGCTTTGACTTCATGGTTACATAAATAATATATCTCAGTTGCTAATGTTTTTCCACATATTCGAAGGAGGTACGCCGTATCCTAGTGTGCCAATTGCCGGAAAAGCTATTCGAACTCAGAAGTCTATAAAATCTGGTTATCGAATGGAGAAACCTGAAAACTGTCCACCAGAATTATGAGTGGCCGATCTTCCATGCATGTTTTAAAATTAATTGGGTGTATGCGTTAGACTCATATAATAATTGTAGAGTGTAAATTTATATAGGCGTTTTAATATGTTCCTCACAACATTTCTTCATGTTCCTGTTAGATATGAACTGATATCACGGTGTTGGTCACAGGAACCAGGATGTCGACCAAGCTTCACTGAAATCGTGGAGGAGTTGAACAAGAAGTTGAAAAGCATGACAACAGAGGTGAGGAATTAAACTGTTGGGAAATGTTAGAGCTATATTTTTTAAAAACATCTATAAATTTAAGGTAATAAAAGTGTGTACTTTTCTATACTGCCTTGCTGAATCAATGGAACAAGAGTTCCTAAGCTCTACTTATATGTATACATGTTATATGTTCTGCAGGATTGTGTTATAAACACAACTGCCACTAGAACTGCCTAACATACACAGTTAACACTGTTTCAATAATTAGACTGCCGCTAATGAGACAATATGCAGCTACTTCAGTCAGTTAAGGTTGTAACATGCAATAGTCTAAAGTGTACAATCCAAGCGCGAACAGCAACATGGATATGTCTAATTTTAATATTTTGAGACTGTGAGCTGTTGTAGTATAGCTTTGTACAATTTATATAAACATTCCTGGACGTACGACTCGTACAGAAATGTACGAAATACTACGAATTAACAGCGAATGGTTAAAGTTTGTAAGATAAAAGCTGTCTCATTATTCTGATAAAATAAAATCTATATAGGTTTATGTTTTTTATTTACTATAGGAGTACATTGACGTTCAAGCGCCATCGTTAAGCGACAGTACACCGCTTACACTATCAGAGTCTGGGCCCAACCACGGTCTGAGTTCAGTTCGTATATCTTTCGCAAACGTTTTTATCGGCGAGGAAAATGACGCGGAGGACGAAGACGAAATACAAATGAACGAATATGATGATCCCGACAACAGATCTGAAGAGAAGAGCAGCGACAATGTATTCGTCGAATCCGAAGTGAATTCCGATAAAGCCGAACCAAACATGAAGGTTGCCGGCGAAGATTCGGTGTCGATAGGAAACGGCTCGGAAAGGGGCGACAATTTTGAAGCCTAAAACCTGTTTTCCACTTCACTATATCCTATACTGAAACGTAGCGTATTTTTGGTTATCATTGATTCTCCTGTTTCGCACACAATCAGCGTTAGCGGTTAGGGCTGGTCAGATCATTGGGGATGGTAGATAGGTAGATAGGGTTGTCATTGGGGGTCAAGATAAAAGAGAAATATATGCGTACGCGAAGCATGATGTATATATATATATATATATATATATATATATATATATATATATATATATATATATATATATATATATATATATATATATATATATATATATATATATATATATATATATGGTTTACTTCATACTGCATGAGATTTAAATCGACGCTCTACCAACTGAGCTACACGGTCAGATGGATTTGAGTCGACTGGAAATTATGAACTATACTATATTGAATGTCATAAACATGGATATTGATTTGGTTATCTCGAAGAAAAACTGTCATTAATACCATGGCATGGGCCCCTGGGCGTAAAACAAATTTTAAATTTCAAAATATAATGTTGATTGAATGATTGGTTAATACTTCCGTAGTACGCTCAAAAGTTCACTTGCGACGAACTTTTTATTTTGAGTCGCGAATCAACCGGAAGTTACCGAAAGTACATAAATTTAAAAACCCATCTTCAAGCTGCGCATGCTTACTGGTACGTTACGGTACGATACGGGCTTAACAAAATTGAACTTCTATATTTTGATAACTGAATGGCGGTATGAAATATTTAGACTTTTTAGTTGAAAATGTAGTAATTCAATTATTGCTGTCACAACGAGAAGACGATTATTCTCCTGTGACCTGTATGTCGCTGTCTCGTGGATCAGTCACACACTGACAGATCGGGGGCCGTGCTTGTATTATTTTTTGTGACAATTACTTCTTTGACATTATATATTTTTGAATTCGGATGTTCATTTCAACTGAGTAATGCATAAAATCCCCATTGCCAGTAGTATTCGAAAAACAATATGACCTTTTTAGCAATTCATATCTGCAACAAAACAGATGGCGGTGCGGCATATTAAAATAATAATATCAGATATATAATTTTCTAATATCTAATGCTAATTTCCGAGAAATATAATTTTGAATTTGAAAAATATATTTCTGAAATTAGCATTGTTAAACATCGTCAAGCTGTTACAGAGCTCAGAATTTCAGCTCATAGTCATAGTTTACATATTGAAACTGGCCTAAATAGCAATGTTCCATACGATAAAAGGATATGTGATTATTTGTCAACATTACGAATTAAACGTGGTCGGAAACGAACAGCACTGTTTAATGCGATGCAATACAAGGTTTACTGATTTCAGAGTAGATTTAATCTATATAAATCACTCGTTTGTCAATAATCATCTCTTTGTTTGGGGAAGTCTCACATATCGATTTTGGTCTATATATGAGTGTCATATGGACGTTTCTCT